ATATTAATAATTAAAAACATGACAAATAACATCCCTAGATACTTTTCTCTTTTTTAGTTTATTTTTCATGAAAGAATAAAAATTCAATTAAAACGAAGAGGGCAAATAGAGTTACTCTAATTTTAGGCGATAGAAAGGTAAAGTAGATATACTTTTCTTTTCTTTTTTCCTTTTTCTTTTTTCTTTTTTAATTTTTCATAAAATAATAAAAATTCAATTTAGGTAGTTAAGGTAGAAATACTTTTCCCTTCTTTTATTTTTGATAAAAAAAAAAAAGTCAAAACGAAGAGGGCGAGTAGCTGTCTCTGATACACATCTATTATTATTTATATAATATATTAAATTTTTATATGAAATTTATATTAAAAAAAAAATCAAATTAAGAACAGTAAAATTGAATGGATTTAGTACAAAATTTAGACATGGACAGCTTGTGACTGCCAGGTCATCATCTATCTGCACACGTGGCAAAAATAGTACCAGAAATGATTTTGAAACAATTTTTTTATGGGTAGTGTTCTTGGGACAACCTTTTTGTTCCATTTTTTTATACAACTTCCACATATCATTAAATGAGTGAATACATTCAATATCACGGATCTTACATTAATTAAAAGAGCTAATCATTTTAATGATATATCAAGTTGTATAAAAAAGTAAGACAATGATTATCCCAATAACATTTCTCACTTTTTTATCTCATCTTGTTATATAACATAACGTTTCATTTACATAATTGATTTTTTTTATTTATATAAATTTTACGATATAAAATACATCTATTTATTTAATAACATATAAAAATTATGTTAAAAAATAATATAAAAAATTTTTCTCTATAAATCGTAACACCATTGAGACTAGGGCTGGGCATTTGAAACCGAACTGATGGGTTACTCGAAAATCAAATCAAAAAAATGAATTTGGTTTGATTTTAATGGTTTTTAGTTTTTATTTTTTTGGTTTTAGTATTAACCAAATATATTTTGGTTTGATTTTGGTTGAACTTTTAAAAATTGAAAACTAAAAATAAGCTTATTGTAAACCGAAATTATGATAAATATGATAAAATATGATAAAATATAATATATTATTAGAAAAATAATTGATTATTATTTATTTATAAAAAATTGAAACCGAACCGATTTAAAACCGATTTATTGATAATCAAACCGATTAATTTTTGATAATTTCGATTCGATTTCGATTTTCAAAATTAG